CTCACGGCTCTGGGCCAGGGGGTGGGGTGGGGTCGGGCTCAGGCATGGGTGTAGTTTGACTTCTATTTTGGGTGGGCAGGGGCCAGCAGGGCTCAAGCCAGCTCCGCACAGCGGGGTTTGGGGAGGGAGCACCACCTCCACCCCCTGACTCACCTTAGCAGGCCACCCGCCTGTCTGGGTTGGGGGCACAACCAAAAATTATAACTCAAAGATGGAGGCTCAGCTAAAAAAGTTTGAAAACAGCTCAGGGTGCAGGGAGAGGGTTAGCTAGGGGCTGTGTGCAGGCATGGGGGTAGCTCAGGTTGCATGGAGAAGGATAGTTAGGGACTGTGTGCAGGCAAGGGGATAGCTCATGGTGCAGGGAGAGGGGTAGCTAGGGGCTGTGTGTAGGCACGGGGATAGCTCAGGTTGCATGGAGAAGGATAGTTAGGGGCTGTGTGCAGGCACGGGGGTAGCTCAGGTTGCATGGAGAAGGATAGTTAGGGACTGTGTGCAGGCAAGGGGGTAGCTCACGGTGCAGGGAGAGGGGTAGCTAGGGGCAGGGAAGGGTGTAGCTGTGTGCTGGGAGGGCTCCCCTGTGGTCCCTGTTATCCGAGGGCCCTGCCAGCCACAGAGCCAGGTCCCCCCACCCAGGCAGCTCTTACTGGCTGTGTGAGCAAAAGGGGCTGCTTCAGCCCCCTGCACCAGCTGGAGACGAGGGAACGCCGCAGCTGCCTGCTCCATGGCACCACTCAGAGCAGCAGCTGCCCTGCACTGCCCGGCTCTGGATTCCTGCCTCCAACCTGGCCAGGGGGTGGGGAGAGAAAGAGCTGGGGGGATGTGTGGAGCTGTTCCAGGACTGCCTGGCTCTTGCACTGTAGTTTTGGGGGGGAGGGGGGGCGCAACATCTCTGTGACCCCCCAACTCTACCCATGGGCTCAGGGCTTCTGCCCCATGGGGAGCACCAGAGCTCAGGGCTCCAGAATTCAGCCCTGCTGCTCTCGGCTTCAGCCCCACGGAGGTGCTAGGGCCCGGGCTCTGGGTTTTAGCTGTGGGGCACCATGTCCCCCCCGAAAGGGTTTGCAGACCCCCTGTTGAGAACCACTGTTTTAGAGCACTTAGAACAGTCTCCTTTTAAACAGAAAGTGACACTCAACCTTTATAGTAGAAGTGGCACTGTAGTGTAATAAAGGTGGTTTTGCGACTAGGAAAGCATCTTGGGCTCTATTACTTTCCTTGATGACTTTCAGCCACTCTCAATACCGCACTGAACAATTGTAATGTTTGTTAAAAATTAATTTTGAATATCAGGGAAAATGCACACTGGCTCTACAGAGACAAATTAAGGCATGCTTGTTAGAACTAAAGTTATGTCAAGATGGAAAATCTGTGAGGATTTGAAAAGGGGTTGATTTGTCTGTTCTCCAGCTTTTAAAGCAAACTTAGAACTGGGACCATTACTGCAGAGTTTATACCAAGGGACATTTAATAGATTCCCAGATTTTTAAGGCCAAGAAGGGACCATTAGATCATCTAGTTTGGCCTTGTGTATAACACAGACCATAGAATTTCACTGAATTATCCCTGCATTAAGCCCAATAACTTGCATTTGCCTATCTTCCAGAAAGAACTCCAATCCAGACTTGAAGACTGCTAGAAATGGAGAATCCAACATTTCCCTTGTCAGTTTGTTCCAAAGGTTCATCTGTTAGCTTTCAGCCTATTGAAGCTTTTCTAATCAAGACAACTCTAGGAAGGGCATCTTTTCCCCAAAACCAGCGTGAGGACTCATTAGGAATTCCTCACAGGGCTAATATGGTGGGGTTTTACCACAAGCATCAACATTCCTTCACCATACAATTTGTAATGTACAACGAAAGGGAAATCTCTGAGTAGGTCTCAAGCTTCCTCCAAACTCTCATGACATACTGAATTTGTTTATTATGTTTCAATGATCAGTTATGGATGTCTGGAATCCTCTTGCTCTGTCCTGGCTATTCAGCATCTGTTACTAAAAACCAACTGGAGCCATAAGTACATATAATGCACATTCATGCTTATTCATGTAGTAAGAAGTGGAGGTCAAATCATTCCTTAAATATCACAGGCAAGTGCACCCTTGTCCTTGTTTTGAATTGTGGAAAGTTCTTTGAAAAACAGACAAAAATATAATTTTATGAGCTATTTTAAGAAGTCCCCCCATTTGTTGTTAACTGATGTTTGGAGCAGTAAGTGAAAACAAATAATGGTCACCTGCAAACCAAAAGAGTGTCTTTTGACAGCTATACTTCAACAGAGGAAATTACATTACAGTTGAAGATTGAAAAAACTCAGCCACTTTTGTCCAATACTATCACTAGAAAAATAGTTCTCACCAATCTTATTTGAAAAGCCAGATTTAAAATACGTTCCTTTCATGCTAAATTAAATGAACACTAATAAGTAAATATTCTCTTTCCTTTACTGCTGCCTATTCTTTTAGCACTAAATACCACACCATAAATGGGCGATCAGTAGTGTCAGATATAAGTTTATAACTTGATTGTTGCTCTACCTTTCTTTTACTGAAGAGTGGGGTAAAAGCAAGCAGAAGTGCTAATGAAAAAGAGGTTTTAGCTAAAGGAAAAGCAGACTTGCGCTAAGCTACATTTGCAAAAGCTCACTAAAAACCTCACAGAAGTGCCTCTTTCTAAGGTACTTTTTGCTCATTTTCTGTTTTAATCCTGTTTGTCAGCATCACTTTTCTGGTTTGGATACATCCTTGTATATAGGAAGTCAAACACACATCACTAAAAGACTACTGAGGGTCACCTGAAGCATTAATTTTATATCTGAATGCTACTGATGTGCTTCTTATTCAGTAAAATTACTCTTATACAAACATTATTGAAAAGCATGGCTCAAGTAGGGAACTCAGACATATGTTAACAAACCATTCATATCCAGGATATGCATATTATCCTGGGAAAAGGTGAGAGTCTCACAGGGATGTCAGTTTTTGGTGGGGGGGGAGGGGGAGGTAGAGGGAATAAAAGAGGAGAAAATGTATTCCTTCCCCAAAACATTAGTGGGTACCTACAGAAGTGTGGTAAGCCTATTCACCTACAGAGATTGCACTAGAATGGGGTTGATGCTGATTAACTGGAACAGAGGGAATTGCTGGACAGATTAAAATGGCAGCCCAGAATGAAAGCAGTGGATGGAAACCTTACAATCTCCTTAGGCCAGCTGAACGCACTCAGTCAGTGCCTCAGATAAGGGTGGCATTTAGACTCCCCACTCCTTTGCCACAAAGTTGAAAAATTCAACTTTAAACTGAGCCAGTTGACTCAATGGGGATCAAAGTATGAAACTAAAACCAGACTATATGTTACTCCCGGGGGAATTTTGCGCTGCGTATACGCAGAATTCATGTGTCCTGCAGATTTTTTTTTCCTCCACAGAAAATACATTCTGCTGCAGAAGCTCCAGGGGCTGCTGTGGTGCCAGAACAGAGGAAGCTGGCTCACTGCTCACCAGCTATAGCAGTCAGCAGCCAATAGGGAGACAGCAGCATCTGCATTCCTCACAGCACCCTGCCAGCGGGGCCTGGTGAGGAGGCACGGGGATGGGGAGGCAGACACAGCATGGCACACAGGGCTGTGTGTGTGGGAGTCACATAGACTGGGGTTCAGAAGGGTTAGTTGGGGGGTACAGACTGGAGTGGGGATTGAATGGGAGTGGGATGCAGGGACTACGGTTGCCAGGAGTCTTGTTTTCGACCAGAACATTCAGTTGAAAAGGGAAACTGGCAGCGTCTGGTCAGCACCGCTGACCAGACACTAAAAGTCTGTAAAAAGTGTCCTGTGGCACCTTATAGACTAACAGACGTATTGGAGCATAAGCTTTCGTGGGTGAATACCCACTTCGTCAGACGCATGTGGGTATTCACCCACGAAAGCTTATGCTCCAATATGTCTGTTAGTCTACAAGGTGCCACAGGACTCTTTGCTGCTTTTAGAGATCCAGACTAACACGGCTACCCCTCTGATACTAAAAGTCTGGTTACCTTCAGTAATCAGCCTCCACCACCAGGGTCAGGAAGAGCAGCAGCTGCTACTGGAGCCTGGAGGAGCAGCTCTGCTTAGCTACTGCTGCTTTTCCCTTCCCTCAGCCTGACAGAGAGAACTGGCTGGCTCCTGGACCGGGCTCCAAAGTAGGTACCGGGAGGGGGGTGGGGAGGGTGGAGAGAGAGAGAGAGGGTGTGTGTAACTTGTCTGCCCCCACATCCCAGTCCCTCGCTCCGGAGACCCTCTCGCCCCATTGTGCCCCAATTTCCCCGCCCAGCCTCTTGCTCCAGGGACCATAAGAACATAAGAAAGGCCGTACCGGGTCAGACCAAAGGTCCATCTAGCCCAGTATCCTGTCTACCGACAGTAGCCAATGCCAGGTGACCCAGAGGGAGTGGACCTAACAGGCAATGATCAAGTGATCTCTCTCCTTTCATCCATCTCCATCCTCTGACAAACAGAGGCTGGGACACCATTCCTTACCCATCCTGGCTAATAGCCATTAATGGCCTTATCCACCATGAATTTATCCAGTTCTCTTTTAAACGTTGTTATAGTCCTAGCCTTCACAACCTCCTCAGGTAAGGGGTTCCACAAGTTGACTGTGTGCTGCGTGAAGAAGAACTTCCTTGTATATTTTTTGAATTTTTGTTGTTGTCTATATTGTTACAGTCATACTTGTTGACTGGTATTTTGAAATAAATTACCAAAATAATTTAAACTGGCATGATTATATTGTGTTATTTTGATAAATAAAATATGCAGAATTTTAAAATATTGTGCACTGAATTCTTAATTTTTTTAGCACAGAATTCCCTCAGGAGTAATATGTCAATGACAATTACATTAATTTCTCTTCTTCCCTCAAAGCATGTCTAAGTTTTCTTATAAAAACTTTGACATCCATAGAAAATTAATTTTTAAAACCTTTGTGTTATACAGGTGTAATATGAATAGGAATTATTCTCTTGCCTTCTGGACGGTATTGTGCAACAATGGTTACTGCTTGGCCTGCATTCTTCAAGGCTGCTGCTGCTTGTTCATGGGTTGCAGCTTTAAGGTCTACACCATTTACCTACAAATAAAATGTAAACATCTCTTTATCAGAGTAAACAATAATGTTAATTGAAATTTATCACAGAACATAGTTTTAATATACAAGTGGGTGAAAATTCATATGAAGTAACTAGGGCTGTCAAATATTTGCACTATAAAAAAACAAAAGAAATAGTATTTTTCAATTCACCTAATACAAGTACCGTAATGTAATCTCTTTATCATGAAAGTTGAACTTACAAATGTAGACTTATGTACAAAAAAATGTAGAATTATTATGCATTCAAAAATAAAACAATGTAAAATTTTAGAGCCTGCAAGTCCACTCAATTGTACTTCTTGTTCAGCCAATTGTTCAGACAAACAAGTTTGATTATATTTGCAGGACATAATGCTGCCCATGTCTTGTTTACAATGTCACCTGAAAGTGAGAATAGGTGTTCTTGTGGCACTGTTGTAGCCAGCATCGCAGTTTTAATTGCACTGTTAAATAATAGAATACCTATTGAAATTTATTAATATTTTGGATGTTTTTCTACATTTTCATGTTTGTTAAAAAAATAGTGCATTAGTTAAATTTGAGACTGAAACTCCTGGGGGAGAATTGTATGTCCTCAACTCTGTTTTACGTGGATTCTGCCATATATTTCCTGTTATAGCAGTCTTGGATGATGACCCAACACACGTTCGTTTTGAGAACACTTTCACAGCAGATTTGACAAAACGCAAAGAAGGTACCAATCTGAGATTTCTAAGGATAGATACAGCACTCAACCCAAGCTTTAAGAATCTGAAGTGCCGTCCAAAATCTGAGAGGGACAAGGTGTGGAGAATGTTTTCAGATGTCTTAAAAGAGCAACACACTGATGTGGAAACTACAGAACCCGAACCACCAAAAAAGAAAATCAACCTTCTGCTGGTGGCATCTGACGCAGATGATGAAAATGAACATGCATCGGTCCGCACTGCTTTGGATTGTTATCGAACAGAACCCGTCATCTGGAATGGTGGTTGAAGCATGAAGGGACATAGGAATCTTTAGTGCATCTGGCACGTAAATATCTTGCAATGCCAGCTACAACGGTGCCATGTGAAAACCTGTTCTCACTTTCAGGTGACACTGTAAACAAGACGTGGGCAGCATTATCTCCTGCAAATTGTAACCAAACTTGTTTGTCTGAGTGATTGGCTGAAGTAGGACTGAGTGGACTTGTAGGTTCTAAAGTTTTACATTGTTTTATTTTTGAATGCAGTTATTTTTTGTACATAATTCTACATTTGTAAGTTCAACTTTCATTATTAAGAGATTGCACTACAGTACTTGTATTAGGTTGTAATCAAAAATAAATATAAAATGATCACTGTACACTTTGTATTCTGTGTTCTAATTGAAATCAAGATGTTGGAAAATGTAGAAAACAGCCAAAAATATTTAAATAAATGGTATTCTATTATTGTTTAACAGTGCAATTAATCACACGATTAATTTTTTTAATCACTTGACAGCCCTAAAAAAAAAGGTTTGCTAAATTACTTGGTATTGTCATATGGTACTGCTACACAATGCAGGAGGATCCTGAGAGAAGAGTGATGGAAGTGTACTGCTTTCTAGTGAGCCACTTTGTTGGGTATATGGAGTGTTTTGACTGTCTTGGAGGTAGCTGTATCCAGCTTTCTTCTGGCAGAGGGAACATGATGAATGACATTTGAGGGATGAGGGGCAGGGTGTTTTACCAACAGTTGCAGGATCCATTTTGGGGAGATGCTGCCTATGATCTCCTCAAAGACTGGTTCCAGACTACTTTTGTCATGCTTTCTGGGACTTCTGCTAGATATAATGTTCATTACATGGCCATGTTTGGAGCACTACTGCTAGGCCTCTCCACCTCCAGAAACAGCTTGTTCTTCAGCAAGACAGCATTGCTGGGTTGTAAAGATCTGTCCTGCAGTTTGTCATAAGTCTCTGTCTTTCTCTTCTTTCATACTTATATTACTCCCAATACTGGAGCCTTACAATCTTTAATGTATCCTCATAACATCCCCATAAGGTAGGGGAAAGCCATTATTCCCATGTTACAGATAGGGAACTAAGGCACTAAAGGTATGTCTCTTACACTAAGCCTGGGTTTGTAGGACCCAGGCTTGTGGACTTGATGTTTCTAAGCCCGTGTTTGAGCATCCACATTGTATCATAAACCTGGGTTTACGATTGTTGGATCCTCACAGCTGTGCTAATGTGTCCATACTGCACTATGCAGGCCTTCTGCTTGACCTGCATCCACACTGCAAAATGACGGGACTTGGACCTGAGTCATAGTAGGATTTGGACTCTGGCCCATCCCACCTAGCAGGGTTCTAGGATCCAGATTATGAATGCTTGCTGACCCATGTACGTCTACACAGGTATAAAACCCCCATGGCACGACCGTGACTGGCCCTGGGGCTTGGAGGCCCTCCCCCATTGCAGGGTTCCAGAGCTCAGGCTACCGAATGTGTACACAGCAATTTTTCTGCCCTGGAGCTTGAGCCCCGCAAGCACAAATGAGCTGACTGGGCCCACTACAGGTTTTCTATCCCCATGTAGACATATCCTAAGTAACTGCTAAAGATCACACAGGAAGTCTGTGGCAGAGCAGGAAACAATACCCATGCCTCCAAAGTCCCAGTCTAGTGCCCTAACCACTGCACCATCCTTCCTCTCTGCACACCCACTGGCAGAGCAGACTTGTATGGCCTTTACATTTACCCATTTTATTTTTATGAATCCAAAAAATTGATTTCCCCCTACTTTTAAACATAGTAAATTAAAAAACAAACAAACAGGTGGTATCAGGGTTTGTCAGCTGTGGGGTGCATTACACCACCTCCCCCCAGAATGTTTGGCTTTTAAATCAGGTCTCTAAATCAGATAACATGAAGCAGAATGCTTACTTCTTGTCCCACATTCTCAGAATTAGCCCAACTACTTCACTAGGTTCCCTTGTAATGAATCATATAAGCCATCAAAGTAAAACAGACTAAGAGGAGGAAATATATTTTTTTAAATTAATGAATCCTACCGAAATTATACGGTCTCCTTTCCTGAGCTCGCCACTCAGATCAGCTGGCCCTCCTGCGAGAATGAAAGAGATGAAAATTCCTTCTCCATCTTCCCCTCCCACAATGTTGAAACCGAGCCCCGTTGATCCCCGATGTAGGACAACTTTTCTAGGTTCTCTAAAAGACAAAAGGCAATGATGAGATCCTGGTCATTATTCATGAATCAGTGTAAGAGAGTCAGTGTAAGGTTGTCAGATAGCACACTTCTCATTTTAAGGAGCCATGCACATTTTTTTTCTTGAATGCTTAGGTAAAAATACCTATCTTCTGTTACATGTGTATACTTATATTAGTTTTCACAGTGCAATCTATAAAACTGTTGACATTCTATTAACATACAATATGCATTCTAAATTTCACATAATGCTACATTTGTACTTGGCACTACATTGAGTCATGGATCAGGGCCTCATTGTGCTAGGCACTATACAAACACAACTCCCTGCCTCAAGGAGCTTACAATCTAAGTATAAGACAAAAGCCAGCATGTAGATACAACAAACAAAGAGGGAAGCATACTCGTCATCTTGATAAGCAGAGGGCACTGATGTAATAATTGCAGACTAACAGTCCTATCCCAATTATAAGCTTAACTGTGGGAAACTGGATAAAATAATTATTAAATGTTCCAATCATCTATAACAAATGTTAATGGGAAAGGCATAAAAGACTGGGCTAGGCTATTGGTATAACTCAGGGACTGTGTTAACATCATGTCTGGTAAATAAGAGGAGTGTGGGACCTGAGATCAAGGTACCAAAATTGGTGTCAGACATTAGGCATACTGGTGGACTATGAGGAGATGGGCTATTCCACCAATTCCCTTTTAGGGTCCTTAAAAAAAGAGACTTCAGGGGAAGGATCAAACAAGTTAAGCAGTTGGCTGGAAGGTGAACTGGAAGGAGCAAGCTTTACCATCTCTTGGGACCCCAGGACACACCTGTCACTGTCACATCTTCACCTTCCTGATCCTCAGAGATGTCCTGACTACAACAAGCCAGAAAAAGGGTCCCTAATGACATCAACACCTCCACTGGTTCTGGCTCAATCCCAACCATCACCTGGAATGTGAGTTTTAGGTTTCTGCTGTCACCTCCTCTGTCATACATCATTTTCCATCCCCATGTTATTTTTTTCTCTTTCCTATTGCTCTCTTCTCTTTTGTGTAGTAAGAGTCTGGCTTAGCTGGCCAAAATTACACATTTTGTAACACTGCTGTGAACCCTGGCCTGTGAAATAGCTAAAAGCAATGCCCTAAACAGCTTGATTCTGGTACAAATTTGCCATATCTTGGAGTGACTGATAAGAGCATGTGCTGTGCCTGTGTTTCTCCAATTGCGAGGGTGCAAGTAAATGTCAGCACCAAAGACAGAAGCTGGATTTTCTATTTTTGCTGTCTTCAAGAAAGCAAGACTGGACTCTAACAGCAGCAGCTCCAACCAACCTCTCTTTTTCAGTTATTACCATTTTAATGCCATCTAAAAGAGAAAGAGAGAGAGAGAGAGAGAGAGAGAGAGAGAGTGTGTGTGTGTGTGTGTGTGTGTGTGTGTGTGTGTGTCCTATAAAAACTCTCTACAGCTAAAGGGAAAAACGAGTGTTATTACATGAAAGTCTTAGTTAATACTTTATATTTCAGATGCCTTAACTGTTTTTCCTTCTTTTTCTGTATCTTTAATAAAAGGTTAAAATAATGTAATGGTGTGATTTTCATAGGATTAAGCAGGCCAAAGTCTCTGTACTTGAAACAAAGCCTTTAACTGAGTTTAATTGTTTAGTGCTATACAGTGACAGATCATATTAACACTTTTGACTCTGTGCCCATTTATTCCAACAAAATTAACACAACAGAACAGCACTCTTCGCCATTCTTTATTTTACAGCCCCATCTCCTCTCTGTTCCTTTTTTTTTAAACTCTATTTCTGTCCTTGGAATAGCGTTCCCCCTTTTCCAATGCAACAAATGTCCTCCCTCTCCATAAATCCACTTTCTGCTTAGCCTTTCATCATGGATGACTCTGCCCACAATCTCTCGTGCCTAGTCCTTTGTTTATCTATTTACAGTACTGGAAGCTTCTTCCTGGCTCTGCCACACTCTCCCTACATGACCTAAGGCAGTTTTTCTTCATCTGCAAAATGTGGATAATGCCTATCTATAGATTATTGTGGAGCTAAATTTGTTATTTGTAAGATACTTAGAGGTCCTGAAATAGAAGACACTATGTTATAAGTAGTAAGTACTAATTATATACCTCTCCTGTTTTGCTAAATGTTAACCAATATCCATTTCTTTATTTTTACTGAAGATTCAGCTGAGCTGTTCAGTATCCATGAAGCAGCATGAAGGACTGTGGGAATTTTAAAAAACAGCGCAAAAATATGATGGGATGGATGTGAGGGAACTGTGGGAATTTGACCCCAATTCTCCCACAATTTCCTGAGAGAAGTGCTAGTATCCCCCAACACACTGCAAAAAATGTCCCAGAAGGCAACGTGCTGGACAGTGGTGCAGGGTACACTGAGATGCCTATATAATGCAGCGCGTCTTTTGCTGTGAGAATGCACTGCACTGGCAAAGGCAGCCAAGTGTGCACACACTGTAGCAAAACTGCAACATCAGCAGCTGAATGCCAGCACAAATACTACCAGCAAAACTTCCTAATGTAGTCACGGTCTTAGTCTTACTGCTGCCAGTGGATACAGTAGCAAGGCAAGGAAGAATTTCAGTAGAAGACAAGGAATTTAAGAATAGGTGAGAAACACCTGTCAGGGATGGTCTACGTATACTTGGTCCAGCTCAGCGCATAGGGTCGGATTAGGTGACCTCTGGAAGTCCCTTCCAGCCCTGAAGTTCTATGATAGTATGAATTTTCTAATATTTAAGTAGAAAAATTCTGCACTACATTCAAATGATCACTAGAGTGCACTAAATAACTAGTCTCTGAACATTTCTGTGTCTTTGAAGACTTCCATTGAAATGATGAGCCAAAAACAAGCTGAATTTTTCTATGTAGAGGTTCTTGTCTCCTGTTTTTCAATATCTTTCCAGGATTCTGGATCTGTAAAATACATACTTTCTCCATGCCTAGACTCCTTTACTGACTCATTGTTGAGCCACCAGACTCCACTCCACCACTCACCTACAATCAGATTTCAGCCTTTGTAGAGAACTCTCTTGTTGGGATTACAAAGGCATATTGAATAGGTACCACAAAGTTGAATGTGGCTCTGTATGCAACTCCTACTTGTGTTTCACTTATCTAAATCCTTCTCTGTAGGAACTCCATATGACTTTGTGGATCCTTGATTTTTGGCCTAGGCAAAATGCTGGAGTAAGATTCTTAAAAAAGTATGTCTTCTCATTAAGCAAACCCGAGTAAGAAAGAGAACTTTATTTTTTCCTAGCTTTTAGTGGTGAAGAGAAGAAAGTAGGTTTTCAGTGTGATTCTATTTTAGGGATTTATAAAGGCAACTGTTACTTTGGACTCTAAGTGCTGGTTCAATAGGAGGACAAATGTATAGAGAAACATGGAAAAATAGCAAACACGATCTGCAGGTTAGGTATGGTATCAAAAGAGGGGTGGTAGTGTTAAGTCTGCAACCTATAATTTGGGACTGTTTAATAAATCAGAAATCCACAAAGATTTACTATTGTCAATTTTGCTCTGTGTATGAGAAGTTCTGAACCTAAGTGTAGGTACTGTAGAGAGAAATGGAAGGAATGGCTATAGGCCATATAAATGTTTATTATCCATAGCATACATGTATGTAGAATACAATATCACAAGCTACAAACTACTCCCTACAGCAACATACAGTAACTCCTCACTTAACGTTGTAGTTATGTTCCTAAAAAATGCGACTTTAAGCAAAACGAAGTTAAGCGAATCCAATTTCCCCATAAGTACCAGGGAAAATTTTTTCACCAGACAACAAAAGATATATATATATATATAAAATATAAACATATACATATACATACACAGTATAAGTTTTAAACAAACAATTTAATACTGTACACAGCAATGATGACTGTGAAGCTTGGGGTTGAGGTGGTGAAGTCAGAGGGTGGAAGAGGGTGGGATATTTCCCAGGGAATGCCTTACTGCTAAATGATGAACAAGCTCTCGGCTGAGCCCTCAAGGGTTAACACATTGTTGTTAATGTAGCCTCACACTCTACTACAAGGCAGCACAAATAGAGGTAGGGGAGACAGCATGGCAGACACAGACAGGCGCACACACCCTGTGTGTGTGTGTGAGAGAGAGAGAGAGAGATGCGCATTGCCCCTTTAAGTACGCTGACCCCACTCTAAGTACATTGCCTTTTTAAACAGATCAGCAAGTTGAGACAGCAGCTGCTGCTAGCAAGCTCCCTTTGTCCTGAGCCCTTCATGTCGTCCCCGCCCCGCTCTATGGAGATGAGGTAAGCAGGGGGCAGGAGCAGGGGGGAGGGGGACTCCCTGATATTAGCCCCTCTTTCTTCCCTCTCCCCCGCACAGCAAGCAGGAGGCTCCCAGGAGCAGGTCCAAGGCAGAGAGCAGGAGCAGCTCAGGGCAGTGGGGGGAGGGACAGCTGAACTGCCAGCAACTGATAGCCTGCTGGGCAGCTGCCGCACAGGGAACTTAGGGGAGCGGAGAGCTGATAGAGGGGCTGTCAGGCCACCCTGGTTCCAAGCCCCACCAGCTAGCTCCAACGGGCTGCTCTTTCTGCAAGGAGTGGACAAAGCAGGCGGCTGCCAAACAACCTTGTAAGGGAGCATTGCGGAACTTTAAACGAGCATGTTCTCTAATTGATCAGCAATGTAACAACAAAACAATGTTAACCGGGACGACTTTAAGTGAGGAGTTACTGTACTTCACAATACAGGACTGATTCAGAGCCATATAGAAAAGCCTCCCTTATCTGCCAACCAGTTAACAAGATTGTATAACTGTCAAAAGTTAGGTTTCAGAGTAGCAGCCGTGTTAGTCTGTATCCGCAAAAAGAACAGGAGTACTTGAGGCACCTTAGAGACTAACAAATTTATTAGAGCATAAGCTTTCGTGGGCTACAGCCCACTTCTTCGGATGCATATAGAATGGAACATATATTGAGGAGATATATATACACACATACAGA